AGTGATGAAGATAGGGTCATGCTGTTTGAGGGAAGTGATGATGAGACCCTTGGTGTGATAAATAGTTATGGTATTAGACTCCACTAGTTAGTACTATGCTGCACCTTGAGATGATTATGTAGCAGGTTATTTTGTTTCACATCTCTTATTTTCTACTGCAAAATGTGACAGGTTTAATTAGCTGCACCTGGGTTTCATGGCTGTTATTACAATTTTTTGGTTAATGCATTGTCTGCATGCTTGTAGTGGCACTACCTGCATTTTTTTCTTTTCTTAATTTTCTAGTCATGGAATGGTTCTATTGGTTCAAAATCCGAAAAGGGAAAGCATGCAGTGAAGCTGTACTCTTGTAATTTTTACTTGAAGGGATTTTGACAGGAGGGAATAGAATAGCCTGCAATTTTTGTTCGGTTTATGATATGTGCAGTGTTATAGATAGCAAGGACAACTACACAAAAACTAGATTACTGAGAATTTGTCCATTTATTCAAACTTTCTGACATTTTTTTAAAATATTTTTTTCTTAAATTTTGGTGTTTTCTGAGAAACAAAAAGGGGGGGGGAAGAAAAATGCCTTGTGTGCATAGGTGCCAGGCAGTGCTCCAATGCTTCACCATTGCCTAGTTCTTTATGCAAAGTCGGGATTGAGATTTAGCCTTGTCTTGTTGAAGACTGTCAAAGAAATTGCAGAAAGAATTCTGGAATGTTCTCCATTTTCCAAGTTTGTGATGCAAACTGAAAACTATGATCTGTTATTATTGCAAGCTGCACTGAATTGCAACTACTGCTGTCATCATGTTTGCTTAAATTTGAATTCATGAATATCTTCTTAAAATGGATGTGTTCATCTTAACCAAAGTAGCATCTAAGTGCAATGAAATGCTGCTTACAGGTTTTTTGCCTCAAAACTTCACAATACACAAAAATAACTATGTTATGCATCTTTTGTATGTCCTCGGTATATTGCTTCCCCTGTCAACCAGTAAATGATGATCACCCTGTCCCGCTGTCCCATTTGAAATGACTGGTATATGCATCAGTGTCAGGCTGGGGAAACAGTGAGGGGACTTACAGTTTCTTCTGGTATGGTGCGTGGGTGTTTGAGAATCACTTAGCTCCTTTCCTATTTACTAGTAACATGTGAAATGTCTGTAAATCAATAATCTGTCTTTCAGACACTCAAAAAATGGAGAAATCTGAAGATTGGGAACTTCTATTTTACTGTAAGTTCTGGAGGTCTTTAATAGAATATTTTAGCCTTTTACATTAGAATAAACTGTTCTAGGTGAAACCGAGGAGGAGACATAAATGTATCTTTTTGTGTCCTGTATGATACATTTTAATTGTTAAAATTTAGAATTTTAAATTAAAAATCTTAAATTTAAATTATCATAATAAGAAAATAATTAAAAAAAAAAGAAGAGAATCATGTCTTGTTATATCATATGCTTTAAAATGACAAATTAATATACTTAAAAGCTATTTTTTCTTTTATAGTCCATCATCTGACGTATTAAAAAATTAAATTAGTTATATCTGTATTTTTTTGAGCTAGTTATATTACCAACACAAATGTTAAATTTGGATGGATTTTATTCTCTATCTACTGTTCTAAAGCCACATGGCTATGATATAAACTCTTTACATTTGCGAAGTTTTAGCAAGAAATAAAATTCATTCCATGTACTGTCTCTTCTCGTTCATTTTTTTTGATTTTGCTCGCTGAGTATACACTGTAAATTCTTCATGATTGAAAATATATGGTAGCCAATCCGGCCCATGGGGTGAAAGGGTAAGTACAGTCGACCTCTGTGTCTTTGCTCTTGCTTAAGAAAAGTCTTGACTCTTAGAAGATATTTTTGGGGTAAATTGAACCAAATATGATCTCTAAAGGAATTTTTTTTTATTGGTCGGTTTATAACTACCCTTGTACCAAATGAATTTTCCCTAAAAATCAAGTTTTTTCACTCCAAAAGGTTTCAAACATAAGACACCAAAATTTTGAAAATTTTATTAATAAATAATTCAAGAAAAGACTTTTTCAAATAACTTCTTATTCACCCAATTAAAGGAAGAATGAAAATGATTGATATATTTTTAATTTCATATATTTTTTACTATTTATTCAATTTAATTATTAAAATATAATATAAATATAACTGATTTAATTAAATTTTACATCTTTTATGTGTAGATGCATTTTTAAGTCTTTTTTATAAAGGATGTACAAATAAATGTCAACAAAAAGACAACTATCACAATCAAATAAAAACAGTTGTAATTTCCTCCACGAAGAAAATCTTAAATTCAATGGTAGACCAACTGGACGTACAAAAATGTAACAGATGGTACATACATGAAAGTTTCCTAGAGACTCCCCTCACAAAGGTGGAAGCTTCCACTACTCCATTTCTGTTATCTTCATGACTGAAGACTTTGACATTTTCTCTTCTCTTCCTTGTTGGGTTTTTTGCACGGTTCATTCGCTGATATATTGGTTTCGACTTCCAGCAGCCATTTTGGATCTCAAAGTCTTGAGGAAGAAAACAAGATAAGAGTTTGATTATCTCAGCACCGAACAAGGAATATCATTTTTCCAAAGTGTACAAGTCACAGAGGAGAGAGTTTCCTCGGTGCGTACGTATATATGTATGACGTTGGAACAAGGCCTGAATTTTCAACCACGTGTTTGGTCCGCCTCTAAAATTCAAGAACTCTTTCTATTTTGGTTCTTTGTCATTCTCCTATGGTTTGTATGATTGATGTTTCTATCTAATTGCTGATACGTGTCGTGGAGGAAGAAGTCTTCTGAAAGATTGATTAAGAAATTGTAAAATAATTCATGTAATGACCAATAATTTATTAATTTGAGCTAAAAAAATTTAATTTTTTTTAAATAAAATTTTAAATTTAAATCTTATAAAAAATATATATATATGTTAAAAAAGTATTTATTTATTGACTTAACTCAGCTCAACTTAAATTAATTAATTAATATTTAATATGACTTTTAGACATCGACATTAATGTAAAAAAAATTCATGCAATGAAGACAATCTTATCTTTGATTCTTTGAATAACTCTAATTCTAGATTTTAATTTCTACTCTTTTTTTTTTTGCTCTGTTACGCCAATAGTCTTCAACATGTCTCTTAGTATGTCACTTTACATATAGATCATAAGTATTGGTCTTATTGCGTCGGGTAATAACAAATCAACTTGATAGAACGTGAGATTTGGTTTTTTTGATATCCTGAAATTGAAACTAATAGACCATAACTTTAGTAATTCATATTATATTTAGATATGCATAAACTTTTCCTTAGTTGACTATGATATTCAAATTTAAAATAAAATCAATTTTCCCCATTTTTCATATCATCACCATGTTAGTTCTTTATTTTTGAAGTTCAATATAAGTAACTAAAGTTGTCTAGACATAAATCGAACATTAAGTATTGAGACTTTGTGTAATTAGTTATCTAGGTTCTGCAATTTCTAGTTAGTTTACTCATTTTTATTATTTAAAAATAAAGTATTTAATGAGATTGAGTTTGATTTAAAAGAAATTAGTTTTAGAAGGAAAGAAACATGAAAATCAAAATATCATGATATTTAAAAATGTTATAATTATTTATAAAATTATTTAAATATTTTTAATAAAATTTTCTTATGTATTGATTTATTAAAAATATTTAATTTTTTTAAATATTTATTCTTGATATTTTAACTACACGTCTTGCTTTTTTTTGTAATCCTTTAAAGGTAAAATTATGGTCAATTAACTTATGGGTTTATTGGGTTTAATACAAAGTTTCTTTTCTTATTATTGTTATTATTATTTCTTCTATTTTGTGGGGATAAAGATCTCTAAGAGCCCCACAGAGTACAGAAAATCCCCTTACAAAATTTTCATGAGAAAAGAACTCATGTCTTCTTCTGCATATGAAAATCTTTGGGTAAAAACCAACATTTAGCCCCTCACCTTACAAAATTGATAAGTTTTAACCTTTTATTTTATAATATGACAGTTTTAGCCCTTTATCTTACAAAATTGGTAAATTTTAGCCCCTCACCTTATAAAATTGATAAGTTTTAATCTCTTACCTTATATTATGATATTTTTGGCTCCTTATCGATATGAATTAAAGAAAATAACCCTCACCTAATATCAGATTATAACGTTTTATTAGTTCTGTTAGTTGACTGTTAATATCCGTTAACATTTCGATATAAAAAATATGAAATTTAAATTCAATTTTATTTGTTAGTTCCATTAACGGAATGCTAACGGATGCTAATAGTCAACTAATAGAACTAATAGTCAACTAATAGAATTGACAGTTAGTTAACAAAACTAATAGAATATTATAATCTAATGTTAAATAAGGGTTATTTTCTTTAATTCGTGTAGAGAAGGGGCTAAAAGTGTTATAATATAATGTGATGGACTAAAATTCAATTTTATTTGTTAGTTCCATTAATGGAATGCTAACGGATGCTAATAGTCAACTAATAAAACTAATAGTCAACTAATAGAATATTATAATCTAATGTTAAATAAGGGTTATTTTCTTTAATTCGTGTAGAGAAGGGGCTAAAAGTGTCATAATATAATGCGATGGACTAAAACTTACTAATTTTGTAAGATAAAGAGCTACAAATATTATATTATAAGGTTATAAGCTAAAACTTACCAATTTTGTAAAATAAAGAGCTAAAAATATCATATTATAAGGTTATAGCCTAAAACTTACCAATTTTATAAGGTGAGGAGCTCAAAGTTGATTTTAGCCAAATCTTTACA